AAGGTCTCAATGCAGCAGTTCCCAGAAAAGCAAGCACTCTGGGCTCCTCTGCCTGCCCGCTCTAGTTCTTCCTCTGCTTCAGGAACTTTATGTTTCTGCTTCATGGGGATGGTAAGCCACGTAATTCCTCTGCAAGAGCATGGTGAGCAATGTGCATTTCCCCAGGCCACTGCACTGGGGTCACCCATCGTTAGCAGCCACCAACTGCCCCATGCCCTCTCGGATGTAGACAGACTGGATCTCCTTGGTCTTGAGGCAGAGATCACAGGCCCAGACAGCAGAGGCCTCGGTGGTTAGCAGCCCGTAGGCGCTCTCTGTCATGCCGGTGCACTCGCGGTGAAACCACTTCTGGCAGGAGGCCTCGCACAAAATGGCATCCTGGTCGTCGTTCACCTCACTGCGACAGGCACCACATGGGTACACCAGGCCCGGGGGAGGCTGGGGCCCTGAGCCTCCACCTGCCTTGCCAGGGGGTGCTAGGCTGTTGGCATCTGGAGTGCCACCACCTCGACCGCTGCTGCTGGGTGGGAAGCTAGGCTGGTTCCTGTTAACAGCTGCAGCCGGGGAGCCTGAATGGGGCTCCTGGGGAAAAGCAGTGGGGGCAGGTGGATTCAAGGGCTTTCCCCCGTCCTCACCACTTGGGCCAGGAAAACCAGGGTCTGGACCAGGGAAGGGACTTGTGTTGGGAGGCAGGCTGGAGAGTCCCTGACCAGGTCTCTGAAGAGAAGGACCAAAAGGTGCTCCTGGCGGGGCGAAGCGTTGGGGGAGAGGAGGAGGACCCAGATCCCCTCTAGGAGGCTGTCCCATGGTGGTCGAGATCATGGGACCGAATCCCCCCACTGGGCCTGGCATCATCTGCCCACCAGGTGGGCTGAAGTTTTGGCCCAGAGACTGGTTGAAGGGATGACTGGAAAAGTTCATGTTGCCTGGTGGTGGATAGCCAGGGCCCTGAGGAGGCATATTAAAAGCCGGGGCCCATAGGGTTAGGAGGGAAAGGAGGGGGCTGTCGACGAAGTGGCTGGGGACCTTCTCCTCCTTCAGTGCCATAGCCTGGGGGTACCTGGCCTGCCATGCCCCCCTGTACACGAAAGCCTCCAAAGGGCACAGGACTGCCAAGGAATGGAGGGCCTGCACCCCCCACCTTAGGGGCTCCGAAGTCATCCTCAAAAGGATTAGAAGCAACCAGATGATCCACCATGGGAGTTGGGGGTGGCGCGAACTCCGTCAGATGTGAGTATGCAGGACCCTAGTGAAAACGGGAGGAAGATGTGAACCACAGAACCGAGCTGGGAGAGCACCACACACCTAACATACTCTCTGAAGGCTGACACGGCTCAGATCCAAAACTGTGACTGACCTCAGAACACGACAAAGGCTGGAAGGCGGATTCCACAGTACAACAGCACTATTTTTACAAAAATAAAACAAAAACAGGGCTGGAGAAGCAGCTCAGTGGTCAAGAGCATGAGTGTGACACCTAGCACCCATGTTGGAGGGTGAACAGCCTCCATCCAACTCCAGCTCCAGAGGGATCACATCTCTGACTTCTTTCAGCACATATGCAGACATACACAAAAACCCATGTGCATACTTAAAATTAAACACAATTAAAAAATATAAAAGTATGCCAGGAGGGGGTGGTGCGTGCCTTTAATCCCAGCACTTGGGAGGCAGAGGCAGGCAGATGGAGTTCGAGACCAGCCTGGTCTACAAGAGCTAATTCTGGCACAGGCTCCAAAGCTACAGAGAAACCCTGTCTTGAAAATCAAAATAAATAATTATAAAAAGTACAGAAAAATCACATCAAAACTCAGGTCTGACCCCAAAGCAGGTAATTAACATTTTTTTCCTCTGAGATAGTGTCTCATATGAAACTCAGGCTGCACTCAAGCTCAGTTTGTAGCTGAGGATAACCCCCATGCTCCTGCCTCAATCTTTGGACTACTGGGACAGACACCAACCACTATCTATCTGGTTTATGAGGTGCTGGGGCTTAAACCCAGGGCTTTGTGCAGGCTAGCTAGGCAAGCACTCAGTACTGATTTTTTTTTTTTTTTTTTTAGTTTTTCGAGACAGGGTTTCTCTGTAGCTTTGGAGCCTGTCCCGGAACTAGCTCTTGTAGACCAGTCTGGCCTCGAACTCACAGAGATCCAACTGCCTCTGCCTCCCGAGTGCTGGGATTAAAGGCATGCGCCACCACCGCCCAGCTTCAGTACTGAATATTTAACTTTTTAAAAGCCTATCTGTCAACTTTTACAATAACAACTGTTAAAGCACTATAGCATTGTGACCCTTAGGAAAGACTCAGCAAGCCAGTAATGCCAGCACTTGGGAGGTTGAAGTAGGTCCCCTGAGAGATCAAAGCCAAGCTGGGCACCTTGTTTCAAACAAGGAAGAGTACAGGCTGGAGAGATGGCTCACAGATTTAGAACACTTGCAGAGACCCTAGGTTCTGTTCCCAGCACCCATGCGGCAGCTCACAACTGCCTGTACCCCCCTCTTCTGGCCTCTAAGGGCACCTAGCACTTGTCCCTTGGGTCCCCAGCACTGCGGAAAAACAGTATGGTGATTATATCTGTAACCCCACCACTCTGGAAGGGAAAGCAGGAGGCTCCTAGATTCAAAGTCACCCTCTCTACACAGCAAACTTGAAGTGCGTCCGGAATACACGAGACTTTGTCTCTAAGGGGGAAAGGCGAGGTTTGCTGTCACCAGACAGAACTAGGACCCAAGAGGCTTTTTTTCCCCTCACCTGGTGGAAAGCACAAAAGGGCAGCCAGGTAGCCACCCAGACAAAGTGGGAGGGGCTTCCAAGGGGACACGCCCAGCACGGATTCCCCCTTTACCTGAGTGTTGGACTTTCTTCGTTTCTTTTCAGGGCTCTTCATTTGCAGACCTGGAAGAGCAGCAATAGGCAGACGGAGGCAAGCTTTCCTGAGGGTTCTACTGTCTCCTTCCTCCCAGCCACTCTCCAGACTCTAACTTCCACGTACACTTGCTTACTTATTTAAGAAACAGGGGTGAAATATAAAAAATGACCAGTTTGACTACACTCTCAGCTACATCCCACATCTTCCTTGAAATCAAAGATACCCGGCTCCAAAACCTGAAGTGATCTGTGACACCTGCTCTGAATCACTAATCCTCACCTGAGGCTACCTCCAGGTCCCTAGGCAACCTTCCCATCCCCCAACCCTTCCATCCGAGGTTCCAGGGTCCCGGGCCTCGGCAGCCCCTGTCCCTCTCTGCGCTCTCACCGGCCTTGCCCTGCTTCCTCCCGGTGCTGGGCGGCGCGGGGGGCGGTGCGGGGCCGCTGCCTCCCTCCAGCTTGTCCGGTGGGGGCGGCGCCGAGGCGGCCATGGATTGGGGGACCCGAGTCAGCGTCGGCGGGGGATGGAAGCGTCCTCAGGCCGCACCATCGCCCGGAGGGGAGTCAGGGGCAGCGCAGCACCCCCGAGCTGCAGCAAGCCCTAGACACGCCGAGGGAGAAGCGCAGAGCCAGAGCACAAACTGCACGCCTGCTCCAGACTCACCGCCCGCCCGCGGCCACAGCAACCGGAAACGGAACTCCAATGGGTCGCCACCACCGAGAGCCGTAGGGAGGGGAAACTGGGAAGGGCCCACACGCCGCACCCAGGAAGGCAGGGCCTCGCCACGCCACTCCTTCGAAGTGCGGCTAAGGCCCCCAGAGCTGGCCCCGCAGCAGTGTGGGGTGCACGATCGTCAGAGGCTGTGCGAGCTCCCCGGGGGCGGTCCAGACACGCCCCTTCCCACCGAGAGCCAGTCGCCGTTCAGATACATCCCTACCGCGCAGTCTCACTGCTCCCCAAATCCTCGCAGACTCGAGTTCCCGCGGACAGGCGCTGGCTTTGAACCCAATCGACCTACCCCAGGTGGAAATCCGCCGCCACCTCCCACTGACGGCCCCCATCGATCAGACTTTCTAGAGGTGTTAAGAGGCCGAGGTAGCCGGGCGGTGGTGGCGCACGCCTTTAATCCCAGCACTCGGGAGGCAGAGACAGGTGGATCTCTGTGAGTTCGAGGCCAGCCTGGTCTACAAGAGCTAGTTCCAGGACAGGAACCAAACGCTACAGAGAAACCCTGTCTCGAAAAACCAAAAAAAAA